TACACAGGGACAGCGGTGTAATGGCATCCAATGACTGCCACTCGTTTTCATTACATCTCTTAGGGATCAGTGTTATACATAGTAACATTTCTTCACACAAGAAACACATCAAATTACTGAGTCAACTGTCTGAAAAAGGCCTAGGGCATACTCCAGGTAGAAAAAAATTAAAGCTAGAATTTGGTTACTTGATATGGGAAACATTTCATATCAAATACATTTATCATGAAGCCTAAAAGTCAGTATATCTGGTACACCGAGAGAGGCGGTCCTCCCAAAGGTGAATGTTGGTTACATGTCCTGTTGTCATTCACTAGCCTCTGCCATAATTCCTGATGCTCTTTCTGTCTACTGGAGGTATTGAGTGTTTTTACACACTTTTGTATGTTCAGCGACTTCCTGTTGAATTCTCAATAATATAAATATAATATATTAAATCAAATTAAAAAAAATCCAACAGGTAGAGTGGAGACCCTCATTGAACAGTAGACCTGCAGGCCTAAGAACACAACACTGTCATGTGCTCTTATTCATCTAAAAAAAAATATCAGTTTTGGATGGATCCTAAAGCAGAACTACACCCTCCTATTCTATACAGCCAAGAAAGGTGCCATCTTAGCCTCTATTTGGATTGCAGTTGCCATGGTGCTGCACACGTGATCAGCTATGGCACCAGCCATTTGAGGGCTTGAAAGTTTGGTCGGGAGCTGAAACAAGCACACTGGCAACAGTGACAGTTATTACCAGAGGCATGCCTCGATAGTAACTGTTTGGGTAGACAGTTGGGTCTAGTTACAATGTACTCATTTCAGCTCTTAGGGCCCAGTCACATCATATCCAGTGCGTACCGGTGCAGTTCGCTCCCCAAGCACACTGGATCGCATAGGTCAAGCCCGGCAGGGGTGTGTGGCTTGGGTTGTCAGTGCTGTCAAGCCCTCAAATGGCTGTTGTCATAGCTGATCACATGTGCAGCACCAAGGCAACTGCAATCCTGATAGAGGGTAAGATGGCACCTTCCTTGGCTGTAAGGGACCGGCGGGTGTAGTTCTGCTGAGGTAATGAGTACATTACATCTAAACACTTTTTTATTAGATACAAAATTGGTATGGTGCAATGGTGTACCTAGGGTTGGGTGGAAGGTATTGCCTACCTGGGTGCTGCCAAACAGGGTGCATCTTAGTGATCATCTTCTGCCCAATGGTGCCTGCATAGTTCCAGGTCTGACATCACTCATTGGAGCTGGGACTCAAAGCTAAGAGTAGGCAGCGTGGGACCAAGACATTCCCACTGACACCAACGGCTCTAGAGTCTAAACTCAGGATCTGACTGATCCCTCATTGGGGTGGGAGTTGGGTAGAGGATATCTTTTACCTTTTGTATCCTGAAGGTCAGTGTAACTGGGGGCACTACAATAACTGTCAGTGTCATTGGGGGAACTATAGTTATGGCCAGTGTGACATTTGCCCTCCATTGTCTATGTGTATCTGAAATGTCAGGTTAAAAACAATTGCAGGTTTATTAGAAAAAAGCTGATTTTTAATATATATGTGATAATCATTTTTTCACACAGTGTAACTGTGGGCACTACAATGACTGCCAGTGTCACCAGGGAAACTATAGTGATGGCTAGTGATGGCTAGTACAAGTGGGGTACTTCACTGACTGACAGTATAACTCGGGGCACTACACTGACCGCCATTGTAACTGGGGTCACTTCACTGACCCCCAGTGTAACTGGAGGCATTACACTAACCACCAATGAAACAGATTTAATAACAGTGACCAACAATTTAACAGGGGCACTACACAGTATAATGGAGGCACTATACTGACTGGCTGACTGGCAATGTAACAGATGCACTATTGTGACTACAAAAACCACCAGTGTTACATAGGGGCACTACAGTGACTACCATTGTTTGGAGAGGCACAACACTGCTGCCAGTCTTAGCGGGCACTTTTGCACTGACTATCAATGTAAGGGGCACTTCAGGCACTTCAGTTTTTCACTGAATGAGTTACTTATCTGGACATTATGACTGACATTATTATTGCTGTTATGATTATTAATGACAATAATTATGTTACACAAAGTAGGGGGTGTTAAGCAAGTGATCTTCCGTAGGTCCCTACTTTGTCACAACTCAAGCTCAGCCAATCAGCTTTTACATTGTAATTTTCTAAGCTGTGTGGCAAAAATGAAAGATGGAAGCTGATTGGTTGCTATGGGCAATCTCACAAGTTGAGATAGAACATGTCTCAGATACTTTTCATTTTATTCTCCCTAGGATAGCACCCAAAATGAGTCAGTGGTACCCCGAGTCACTAGACAAGGCAATGAAAATTAATGGTTGTGTGCTGCACAAAGCTCACTGAGCTTGTAATGTCTAGGTGGCATCTCATTGGGGGGGGGGGCAGGCCTACAAAATATATAGGACAAATATTAAATATATTTTAGTGGCTCCTCCTATAGCTGTATAGCCTAAAGTGTCATTTGCACTGTATAAAATAGAATCTGCATGCAATATATAACAAGTCCAAAGTAGTCTCATTACTTGATATGGTGGTGGACCATTCCTATCCAAGACCAGCATTACCAGGAGGGGCTTGTCTAAAGACATTTTCTGTATATGTCTTTTTTTTTTCTTAAATGTTAAATTATTTTTTTTGCAATATGTAAACATAAATATGTTATTTTACAAGGTATAATATACAGTAAATCTTTAGTCTAGTGTGTATGCTGTGAATGTGGACTGTGCAGTAATAAAATACATATCATACCAGCATTGTCCACAAGAGGTCAGTAGAAACTGTGTTTTCCACAACACATTTGCTTCGTTCTGTTCTATTCATCATCATCATTATTTAGCAAACATTAACAGGATTATTCACAAAAGGGTGAAGAGTTTGGAGAAGGAAGGAGAAGTGAACAATCTAGGGCAACATAGCTGATTTGGGAAAATTCTCCAATTCAGCTCACTACCCAGTTCAGCTCTGTTGTCTTAGATTGTTCACTTTTCTGCCTTCGCCAAACTCTTCACCCTTTTGTGAATAACCCTGCTAGTATATAAGGTTTTATTCTTATATTACTTACTGTCTATAATCATGAAATTGTGAAATTCCCAATTGTCCGTTTATTTGAGAGACAGACCTTTTCCTTGCTCTAAGGCCTCATTCACACAGACGTGCAGTGCAGAGGCCAGCGTGGCGCGCAGTGCAGAGGCCAGCGTGGCGCGCAGTGCAGAGGTCAGCGTGGCGCGCAGTGCAGTGGTCAGTGGTGTAAGGAAGAAAGAAAAGGGACTTACAGTACACTTAGCTGATGGTATTCAGGTGCCCTCTTCTTTCTCCTGGTGGTGGTGGGGGTGAGGTACAGAGATCCTCCATGTACCGAGATAGAACTTAGTTTTGCATAACTTTCTGGCCAGGTGTCTCACTGTCTCTGCAGTCTTCCTCCTAGCTTGGCAGCTTAGGTGGGCGGAGGAAGCTGCGGCGATCGTTCGCTTCTGTTCTCTCATCTCCTTCTCGGCCACTCTGTAGCTGCAGCGGCCGAAAAGGAGAAGAGAGGACAGAAGCAAGCAATCGGCGGGGCAGTGGTGTCCCATCCATGGTCCCGCCGGCAGCGCACTCCCTCGATGACATTCCACTGGCCCCCATGCAATTTTCACTCGCCAATTGCGAGGGGGCGAGTGGAAATTTTGAGGCCTGCAGTAAGATATATCCATGTAGAAAACTAAGATGGACGTATAGATCTGTAGCTAGTAAGTATGATGTGTAGAAGGCATCCTCTGATTTCTTTACTTACCTTGCCCTTCATACTAGAATGAGAGAGAAAGAGACATAATGCAAATGAAGAGAGAGAGAGAGAGAGACATAATGCAAATGAAGAGAGATAGAGAGAGATGCATGTTAAAAGAGACAGTCAAGCTACATAAAGAAAACTATTACATTCAACAGTTGTGCTTCAGAGATACACAGTAAGGGCTGTCCCTATAATAAGGCTGTCACCTCGGGCGGCAACTCATTAGGGGGTGGCAAGTGTGGGGGGGGGGGGTAGAGGGGCGGCCACAGCGTCCCAGGTTGCTAAGAGTTCTTAGCAACCTATGACGCTCTGTCCGGCTTCCCGCTCAGCTCACAGGGAGACCCATGTTACAAGATACAATTATTATTAGAAGACAATTGCGTTCTAGGAAGAGCCACGTTATAAGACACGACTGTGCTATAGGGAGATCCCTGTTATAAGTGATGGTCATGCTAGAGGTAGATGCTTGCAGGTACTCAGTTGAAATACACATGTAACTGTCTTTTATTCATTTGTACGAATTCAGATACCCATGCCATAAAGTATACAAGGCCGTGACCATTTGATTTTCGCCACTGTAGCTAAAGCAATACAACTTAATCACAACTATGATTGTATAGTGAAAGTACAGTGACTGGCTGATCTGTGCTGTCTCTACTGTTCAGCAAATGGAGGTCTTTTATATATGTCTACAACATTCCTGCATGTTGGGTTTGGGTATGTTTTATATGTAGTTCAATGATATAGATGTTCTCCTCAGGTGGCAAGGACACCTCCCTATCATCCTCAGACTGCACTTAGGAAACCTTGCGGCTCTCTGACCCCTAGTTTTCACTAATCACATTTAAAAGAGCTCCTAATAATCAGAATGTAGCCAAACAGTCTACAACCTGCTTAAAGTACAGGGGTTCTTCAACTTTCCAAAGTGCTCCATGTTTTCATTAAAAGAATACCAGGAAGGATAAATTATATTTTTTGTTGACCTAAACCTTTGGTACATCTTAAATCCAGTCCTTTTATACTAATAATATAAAAGATAACAATACACATTTAGCTAAGGCATGCTCAAACCATCTATATGGCTAATGTCTGTGGTGTCTGCCCTGGCCCATTTAGCATGTTGCTCATACAGTTTTTAGTATACAGTAGTTTAGTTCATCGTTTTTAATGCTCTGTTCATTATTGCATTTGTTTCCTGCAGGCGCCACCGCTGCCCACATATGCCTACAAAGATTTTTGAAAAATCTGGACAACCTTGTTTACTGACTGAATATGTGGAGAAATACCCTCAGTATGATAATGCACAACCACGAAATAGCATGAAACCAAAGCATGAGTACCAAGGACACCGTGGGAAAATGGAAGGAATTACAACTTTTAAGTAATTCTTTATTTGAAATATAATTACATGATCATTAGAGTGACACTAAACTCAGGTGTTAAATCTTAAAAATGCATTCAAGTACCTTAAAGCGGACCTTTACCTATATCTTTAAAATAACAACAAACACGCTTTTAGAAAGGTTTAGTAATGACAATCTACAAACACATATTTCTAGATAATTGCCGGCTTTTTATTCTTTGCATTCCTTATTTTTCTTTTCTTCCCCAGTCTTCTGACAGTGGCCATGTTTACTAAGGGCCGATTACTAGCTCTCCCTTTACTTCCTGGATTTCTGGCACATGTGAATGGGACATGTGACCATGCACATCATCTCAGGGAGGGAAAATGCCTTTCTCTGAGATCCTGTGAGATTACAGATGATATTTCCCACCAATGCTCTGCTGATGACAAGGCAATCCCAGTGTGCATTGCTTTGCCAAACTGAAGTCATTTTGCCCTTTCAAAGCAGGAAGTGTATGCTCTGCTAGTGTAAGTATTTCAAAATCACAGCATTTTACACCTGACATGTCTATGTTATCATTAATCATCGTACATAGAGGGATGCATTGGTAGAATTTGATTTTTGAGTGTCAAGGTCCACTTTAACTATTAACAAAAATGTATCCTATTTGGTATCACTCAGCTGTGGATCCTCAAATCATCTCTGAATTAGTGCCGACACTGTCCTTCCTTCTGGAGGGTGGCTACTTTTGTTCCCCATGGTCCCTGTGTGTGTTGTAAAGTAGCCACCACTCCAAGCTCACTCTCGTGATGGATTACAATCTCAATACAAATTAGTAAACTAAATGTGAGATTGTAGTCCAACTAGCCTTTTCAGAAGGGAGTTCAGAAATAGCACCCTCCATACTTCCCTAGGGTTACTTTAAGCTGGCCACAGGCATTAGACTTCAGGAGAATGTGTACATGACACTTCCTCTGTGTTGTGTATACAATAGTGTAGTATAGTATTACTGGCTCTAAACATCTAAACTGACCACTAAGAACTTTCACAAAAATTCATCCAGGGGACTCTGTAGATGTCTGAAAGTGAAACTAAAGCCAAAACGTTTTTGTTTTTATTTTGGATAGAGTAAGGGAGCCACAGGAAGTGATAGGAAATCCCTGGTTCTCACCATGGTGACCACAACTTGTGTCCCTATTGGAAGATTTACCCTCTATTTAAAATGTGGGATTTTCATTCACTTTCCCTCTCAGTGATAATGGTCACCAGGACAAATAGAGAGGGTGAATCTCCATAACAAAGACACGGGCAACAATAAAAAACAGACGTGTTCTAATCCGTCTCAACTCTATCTAAAACAAAACAAAAAGTTAGCTTTAGTTCTACTTGAAGGGCCTCATAGACCTCCAAAATGTCACCTATTCCTTTTAAAATCTGCAGGAAACAGTGGTGGCCACCCACCTGAACACCACGCCTCTCTGACGTGTTTTGCCCTTATGAGTGAAATGCATCAGGAGGAGGCGGTCTTCAGGCGGGGAGAGCGGAGTGTTTTTCTCTGTCTGAATAATGTTTGGACAATGGAATAACGTCATTGCATCAGTGTGTCGCCTCTCCTGGGGCCGCCGGGTACGATGTAGAGCACGGGGGCTCCTTCGGCCTGGCAGAACTCCTGGCACAGGGGTTGCAGGTGCGCATGCGCGGCGGGGGCACACACATAGCGCCCCTGTGCCCATTAGGGCCATCAGGTATGAGCCTTGCTGGGGAAGGTTCCCAGCACACACCTTCCATCCCTCTTTTCCTGCCATTGGCTCCCAGACGGAGAAGCCTCCTGGTTGCCTCGCCGACCAGGGGGTGGTCTTGATTACACTGGCTATAGAGCCCTGGCTTGTTGCTGAGTTATTCCACCTCTATGGTGCGATCACCTAGCCTCTTTGTTGGATCCTGCTGTCGTTCCCTGACCCGTCATCTGAACTTCCTGGTTACCGACCCCTTGGCCTGCCTACCGCTCTTGAATCCTAGCCGCCTGCCTCAATCCGGACTGGACTTTGACTACCCCTTTTGGATTTGCCCTCTTAAACCTCGTTCTTGGATCTTCCGGTCCGCTTTCTGCCAGGGGGTTCCTCTCCAGGCTGTTGGCCCACAGCACCACCTGACATCAGTACAGTAGCAACATGGATGGAATTAACAAAATGAACCCTTGCAGTGGGGCTACCCCCTGCACTGCAAGGGTTAACTGCACGTTTTGGTCTAGAGCTGGATAAAAGAACATATACTTACCTGATACTCAATCCCACGTGACTGCTAGACTGGTCCCTGCAGCCTCTTCTTCCCCAGCTTTGGCAGTCTAAGCCCCACTGACATCATTACATCTGATGCCGGTACATTCACCAGCATTACATGTGAGGGCACTGAGGGACATACCACAGCCAGTGCAGAGGAGGGAAAGAGGATCTGTGTCACTGACTGCCACAGGACCGAGGATCAGGTGAGTATATCTTTTTTGTTTTCTGGCCCCTTGACCAAAACGAGCAGTTAACCGTTGCAGCGCTGGGGTAGCCCCACTGCAAGGGTAAGTTTGTTAATTCCTGGAGTTATTCTTCAAAATGAAATTCCGTTTGAATAACTTGGTCTCTTATCATGTTTGTACAGCATTTAACATTTGTATGTTTCAGATCAGATTATATTCCATATGATGTAACATACCGCCCTGTACGTCCTCATCAAGAATATCAACCAAAGCCAGGACACATTGATCTTGGGACAACCTATAACCGAGATTTTAATGCTTATAAAATAGAACTAGTGGCACCTGCACGTCCAGCAGAGAACAGAAAGATTAACATGGGAAAGTTTGACACAAACCCTACATATAAAGGTAAGTTATTCAACCTGGGCTCATTTACAGATTCAAGCTATCGCTTAGTGTTAGGAGGTAATGCACATACAAGTGATGTGGAGGTGGAGGCATGTGACCTACTCGGCACACACAGCTCACAGCAGAACACTCCACAACCAGCAAACTGGACACAGCAGCACACACCTTATACCCAGCACACCCAGCACCTATACCCAGCACACACCAGACACACAGACACACAGCACTCACATCTCACAACTGCGCAAACTATAGCCAAGTCACACCAGACACAGCACTATCATCTCACAGCACACACCTCACACAGTACAGACACCTCACAACAGCACACACCATACTCGGCCCACAATAGCACACCCCAGACACAGTACTCGCACCTCACGACTGATGTTGGCGCTGCATTTCTGCCAGGTGAGCCATGACTGAGTATAACTACCTAAAGTGACTGCAAACCCTTTTGGCCTGACAAAGGACCTTCTGAAAGCCAGGGTATTTCATGATGAATCACTGCACCCCAACCTTAAGGACATGCTCCGGGCAAGACACATATGTGATTTTTCCCAAGCAAAGGGCAGCCACCAGATGACCATCATTGTCACAATCTTGCCTGGGTGAAGATGGTGTGGTGTTAGCAGCCACATGGTCTGGGCCTGGAGAGCTGCCAGCAGCTCTGGCCAAGTGTGGCTCTTATCTCCCAGGCATACAATTTGCAACAGAGCATGGCAGCGTTTAGCTTAGAATGTTGCATACAGTATGTTCTGCTATGCTTGGGGGGACTGCGAGTTCCAAGAAATCAGAGAATGATGCTTGTGAGGAGGAGGTGATACAGGTGACTGTGCTAACACTACTGGGCAAGTCATGTGGCGGTACTACTAGCTCCAGCAGTGTGCCCGGTCTTGTATCCTTCCCAGCCACCAGAAAATTGATCCACTGGTACTTTTACCATGGTTAGTATGCTGTAGGTAGAGGCTGCAGACAACAATGGTGCTGGCAGCAGGAGACATTTTTAGGCTACTGCAGAGCTCTGTGAACCAGTCTTGGGGATAAGAGTGGCCTGTACCTGTGAGGCAGTGCCTCCAGCTGAATTAGGACAGCTACACCCTTCAGTCCACTGCAAGTTGCCCCTAGACAAAATCTCCCTCCCTTCTGTTCTACCTCTCCCTCAGAATGTTCCTCCTCTCCAATCGGTGGCACCAATGGACAGTCTACCACCTCATCATCCACCCCCTCCACAACGCTGCTTTGCAGCAAGCTCCAGCTCCTAGAACAATGCTGTGTTGCAGCAAGCTCCAGCTGCTGGAACATCACTGACTCTTGATGGTCCCTGCCTGATGTCCCCCGACTACTGTGTGACTGAACCCTCGTCTCCCTTTATGGTCATGACACTATGTCCCTCATCCTCAACATGAGAATAAGAAAGGAATGCTCACACATGATCAAGGTCATCCTCCTACAGCACGTGTTTGATTGTGTAATTAATCAATTCCACTCACTCCTTAGAGCCAGTTAACAGGACTATGCCAGGATTGGTGATTGTCAAAAACATTATGGAAAGTTTCAAATCTTGTAAAACTACCCTGTTTTAATGTTATGCCTTAAAGTAATTCTATGAGCAGAACATAAAACTGTGTAGCATTTCTTCACCTTGATTCAGAGTGATCACCTTGAGTAACAAGTGTTTTGTTTCACCTTTTTTAAGATGACTACAGAGCATGGGGTATCAATAAAAGAGAACTTGCTAAACAGGAGCATACTTACCAACCTCCTACTGTTAAATTTGGAAATTCAACTACATTCCAAGATGAGTTTTTTCCAAAGGAAATAATGCCAAGAGAGAGTTTCAAGCCTTCCGGTGTAGCAAAACGCAATGGCATCCCTTTTGATGGCACCACAAGCCACCGTACTTCTTATGTTCCTCATGAAATTGAGCCAAGGCATCCAAGAGCAAAGCAAGAATATAAACCCAGTAGCCAACCATTTGATGATCTCACTACTCATCGTATCAATTTCAAGGGAACACTTGGAGAGATAACAAAAAGCTGCAAACCTGATTTTGGTAAAGTGGGTAGCAATGCTCGATTTGAAGGCAGCACTGAATTCCATGATAGTTTTCAGCCTTGGCCAGTACCTCCAACTCATATTCATAAATCTGTTGAATATAATCCACCTACTACACACATGGAGGTAGATACTACATCTAATTTGGCTTATGTGCCGCACCAGATCAGCTATGTTTCCCCAATTCGCCCAGTCTCTCATGGAAGGAGGAGCAATGTGCCCTTTCAGGGAAGTTCTACAATGAAAGAAGATTTTCGACCCTGGGAAAGCAAGCGCCAAGAAATGATCAAGCGGGATCATCAAATTCCAAAGGCTGGAAAATTTGAAGACCTGACAACATTCAAATCCCATTACCTTCCCCATGAGATCCATCCAACTCAGAGCTTCAAGCCTGCAAATGCAGCACTGCACAGTTCTGCTCCATTTCAAAGTGGAACATTGTATCGTTCTGATTATACACCTAAGAAAAATGAAATCTGCCCTGCAAACTACCCATTGCCCCCTGGTTATACCTTTGAAAGCATTGATAGCAGAGGCCACAAGATGTTTACAAAAAGTTTTACCCCAGAAATGAATTCATTTTCACACAACCTTGCTAAAGCAATTGAAGTTATCTCTTAATTTATAACTAAACTAAGGTGATGACTTACTAAAGGTATTTTATGTTCTAACCTGGTATATGTGTGTTTTCTTCAAAAATCCACTCAACCTAATGGGGAAAGTAATACAAATGTAAGTTTATCTTACTGCATGTTTGAAGTAAACACAGACTTGCTTAGTTGGAACAAAACATACAGGGCTATTCACAAAAGGGTGAAGAGTTTGGAGAAGGCAGGAGAAGTGAACAATCTAGGACAAAATAGCTAATTTGGAAAAATTATCCAACTCGGCTCGCTTTCCAGTTCAGCTTTTTGTCCTAGATCGTTCCCTTCTCCTGCCTTCTCCAAACTCTTCACCCTTTTGTGAATAGCCCTGATAGATCCTTAAAAGAGACCAATTCTTTACAGGGCTATTCACAAAAGGGTGAAGAGTTTGGAGAAGGCAGGAGAAGTGAACAATCTAGGACAACATAGCTTAACAGTAAAGTGAGCTGCATTGGAGAATTTGTCCAGTTCAGCGATGTTGTTCTAGATTGTTCACTTCTCCTGTCTTCTCCAAACTCTTCACCCTTTTGTGAACAACCCTGTTAGTTTTAGATGTTCCAAACAGAGTAGAAAAGTATAATTTATAGGTGCGCACAGAGGAGTTTACAGGTACCTAATATTATTCTTTGAATGGCATGCATACAGTGCTCCAGATTTCAAGCATTTGAAGGGCCTGTGTCACTGGGTTTTGTGCTTGTGTAAATGGTATTAGATTGACATCAGTCTGAGATGCTTCTGAGATCATCCAGAATTCACTGACAGGTGTATTTGACATGCAGTTGACCCCCGTCTGACCTACATTTCACGTCTTTCAAGCGGGTTTTGCATTTCAATAGACTTATATAGAGATGGCAACCCTATCTAACCAGGAAAAGTCGATCGACATGGGCCCAAAGGACAGCTAGCTAAAAATTCAGGAAGCTTTGTTAAGTCTTGCAGTGCAACAGGCAGCGGCAGGAGCAGCCGCATCTCACCATGCAGCAGAGGTCAAGAATATAATGCTTGCTGCTGGTCATTGATATACTTCATAACCATGATAGCATCTCTGTCCACTGTATATAGGAGAAATCCTCCTAATTATACACTGTAGGAGCTTTTATACATGGGCTTTTGTTCCCATGCAAATCTAATGGAAATACAAAACTAGACTGATGCAGTCTTGGAGGTCAAATGGCGTTCATCAGGAGGCCAGATGAAGGTAAATGTGCCTGTGGAAGAACTTAATCTGGCCATACACCTTACAATTATCTGCAGATTTTCTCTGGTTAGATGGAAAAAGTGCAACAGATTCCCCCATCTATGCTAAGCTGTGTGGATGGAGGAATCTCCACCTGGGCCAAGCTTCAGTATCTTGCTAGTTGGCTCTCTAAACACCTGAACAATGCCTGCATTCAATCAGACTGTTCAGGTATTTTGGGAGCCAGCAGGGCAGACTAACAAGATACTGAAGCTTGGCCCAGGTGGATATTACTCCATCCACACAGTTAAGTGTAGATGGAGGAATCTGTTCCACCTTTTCCATCTGACCATAGAAAATCTGCAGATAATTGTAAGGTGTATGGGCACCTTCAGAATGATTTAATCAGCATCTCAGACTAATCTTAAATGCAAGCTGAATGCACCTGAACGTGTGCTGCATTTGCCTTTGTGTAGACAAGTCCTAAAGAAGATAAGAAGTAGAGTGAAGACAGACGACACTGAGCATGTGTGGCTTGGCTTGGCCACCAGCTCTCCTGTCTGCAACATTTAAAGTCTTCCAGTTTTTAGTGGACAGGAGGGAGCAGAATAAACATGGAACTGCTATTTGGTTTGTCATAAAAATGCTTTGGATGGTAACTAGCTGAACATCAGAAAAAAACAAAACAAATGAGCAGCTTTTAAACACTCCCTTTGAGTTAGCCCTAAAAATGTCACTGTATGATGAAAAACACATATGCAGAAGAACTACATTACTGGCAATAAAAGGCACGACACATTGACACTGTAACTGTATCAACAAACCTAAAACTGAACTGTGGATTAAAAATGAAGCACAGAAATAACTGTTGTTTCACTAATTTTATTCTATTGCTAACCTCTACAAAAACAAAACCCAAAATGATAGTTTAGAACAGAAATATTTTATTAAAGTACCTTCTCACTCTAAGTAAACAAATGTATCATATTGGAGTAAATTTATATAGTCTCACTTTTTGAGGAACATATTTTTATATAACTATTTTAAATCACATATAAAAGTATCATATGATTATGTATTATTCTTATATTGTTATATAGAAAATTATTTTTTCTTAAACATGGATGCTGACTTCAGTGTAAGTGAACAGTATTGTTTAGTCACACATACTTAAAGGAGAACTATGAGGTGAGTGCTTTTCACTCCCCTCATAGTTCTGGCCGACCTGTGACAATGAGACTGTCACAGGTCGGCTCAGTAGATCTGGAGGTGAGCGAACACATGCCGGTGTTCGCTCACTTCTCGATCCTGTCACGGCTCTCTGCCGTGACAGGGGAGTGGATGGATTCCCCCCTCCCCACTCGGATCCGCCATCGCTGACTGGCGGAACGGACGGGGGAGGGGGCGGGTACAGCCGGCTCTGCCTCTAGATAGGCAGAGCCAGCTGTCACTCACGCAGCTGGGCGGATCTCGACATCGATGTCGGGATCCGCTCCGGCTGCAAGATAGCCTGTACATGGTACAAGTTTACTAAAAGTACATCTAAGGGCTCCTGTAGGACAGTCTAAACAAGTACCAAATCCAGGTACTATATGATGCATAAGCCACATTAAAGAAAAGAATAACTTTGTTTACATTTCCTGACTGATCCAAAGCTTAATTTGCGTCTTATATAAACCTCCTCCCAGACACTGTAGCCTGCGGTGGGAGGGTTCAACAACAGAGGCAGTGCTGTCAATCCAGAAAGCAGTGGGCAGCACTAGGTGTGCCAAGGTGCTGATTGACAGGCTTGTGATTAAGAAGTGACAATGCTGATAGCCATCCCCCCCTTTGCAACATTTTCTCGTCCCACTGTAGTGCAAGCAGGAACAGCCTACATGAGAGTGGAAACTCTGCTCTGAATTCAGGAGCAGTGCAGCATTGTTGTCACACCATCATAGGAAGTTGCATTAGGTGGACTTCACTGACAGGATCATCAGGTATTTGTGGGACTTTCCTGGTTCACTAAGACTAGCAATAAACTTACAATTAAGTTCTGCAGCACATATTTTTAATATGGAAGGCCACCGTTCTACTGTGTAACAAGCAATATAAGGCCCCTCCTTTCAATGTCAGTGAAAAAAACGTCTTAGAACTTTTAGACCGGAGTTAAACAACTTAACCTAAATTTGCAAAACAATTAGTTTCGCTTTTGCATTTGGTTTTAATTATACAAATTACTCATTTTGTTGGTGTAGATTATATGTCAAATAACATGAAGACTATATCTTTCTACTAATATTCTTTCCAAACTCTGTATTATTTTGACATTATTTTCCATAAATCTGTAAAATTAATTTGTTAGGAATTATAAAACCATTAAAACCAAAAAAATTGCTATTCTCATTACAAAATAACATAAATATTTAATTTCTCAAGAATATCAGCATCGCACAAATCATGTGTGTGTCTGCAGATTTACTGTATCTAACAATGAAATCTTTGTGTACTTGATCACTGTAGTGCATTGAAATTTAACTTTCACTAATAAAATGTCAGTTTCTTTGTCAGTATTGCTTTGTGTTTAAAAATTGAATTCAGAAACGACACTTCCAGTTTTGGAGAGGCTAAATTAGAATGAACTGTGACTGAATAAAGAAGGGGGTTCCAGACACTGACATGTTTTTATTAGAGTTGGTTATGGAGCTGTTAGCCAGTGTCAGGATCATGTAGTAGGAAATTAAGGATATTGAACTAAAGACAACGAAGTCAATGTAAAGCCTCTAATCTAGGCCAAACATAACATAACTGTCAGTGCCTACTCCTTAACACTGGACGGAAAAGTACATGACCTCCAGAATAACACAACAGAGAAACTGTATATTATTAATAGAGTGTCAAACAAAAGGAAAAGAAATCAGTTTGTCGTTTAAGGTGTCTGTCTAAAAAGCTGCCGTGTTACAGACACTTGTCAGGAAAGAAGAAATGTTTGTCCAGCAATATGAAGCAAACACTTAAGAAAATATTCTTATACGATAAGGTAGTTGTGTAACACAAATGACAAACGTATTCGATAAAGTATAATTAGAATATACAAATCTGCAGTTATCTATAATATCTAATCAGAATTCAAGCCCAACTCCAAGGCATTTTTTTTAAATGGATCACAAGAAAGTGTAAAAAAAAATAAAAAAATACATCTATGGCTGCAACAATCACCTTCATTTCGGGGCTGCCCCCTCAGTATTTATCTTCTGCCACTAGAAGTCCTCAGTCCTCTGGGTTGTATGATTCCCAGGATCATGGAGAAGACTAAAGACATCCTGTGCATGCAAGGCTTCATGCGAACGTCCATGAACCCATCGCACTCCTGACCGCTTGTTCCATAAAGATCGGATGGGTGCTGCGGTAGTCAACGGATGGCAACCGTTATGTACATAGAAAGAAATAGGGACACCGGCACACCAAATGCAGATCAAATGCATCTATTTAATTATGTAAATGCAACATATCACACTGGTGCAATGTTTCGGGGTCTCGCAGGATCCATCACATGCTTTGCCTGAGGAAGGGGATCCTGCGAGAACCCGAAAAGTTGCACCAGTGTGATAGGCTGCATCTACGTAATTAAATAGATGCATTTCATCTGCATTTAGAGTACCGGTGTCCCTATTTCATTCCATGAGAGGCATCATGGACTCACCCCCTAAGGGGGCATCACCACAGCACCATGCGCTCTCAAACAATAATGCAGAGAGTGACACTGGCTAAACCATCAAGAAGAGGCGAGGAGGACCCTGGATGTCATGTGGCTGGCCTGA